TAGAATTACGTAGTCAACCAAAATATTGCACAGCAGAATATTTGTGAAGGCAAATTTCCTGACAGGCGAATCTTTGGAAAGAGTAACATGGCGCCATAGTAGTTATTTGTGTGTTATACTTACGTCATATAGAGTGGTGGATACTGTAACGTTACTGTAACACGATAACGATATGTTCAGTTGTTCATTAACAACATATTCAGTGTAGTTGAGAAATCCACAGCAATGGAGCTATTGGGGTAAGTAATATGAATGTTATTTCAATTGAGTGAACCAATGTACAGTGGGTATTACACGCAGTCGCGATGTACATATACTTGGTAATCGATCGCTGGTTGCGTAATTGCCGTAAAAGAAATCTACAAACATTGAAAATCAAAGGGGTTCAACAATGCAAGTACCCCATAGTATGCCCCTAGCACACAGCAATGACATTAATATTAAATAAGACGTTTTCTTTACATACCTGACTTTGTACAAGGTTTATGGTGATTTGGTCGAGAAAGTTCCATGCCATGTGTACGTAAGTGATAAACTGTAAAACAATCGAGCACGTGATATTATAATGGGCTGCATATAGCGAGTATCAAAAACAGGAGTCGAGTTGTGATTAGCTCGTTGTTCGTTTAGCCATCACAAATTTCTCACCAACACCAATTGCACAAATGTCACGGTGAAAGGAAACAAAGGTTGTATGTTATGACGCACAAAAAAACACATGCATATGATATCGCTGAGTAAGAAATAGTAAGAATTGGGCGTGATTTGATCTTTGCCAAGAATGGACTTAACCTAATGGGTTACGTGTGAATGAACGAGTTTTATTCCGGAGAAATATCCCCTAAGGCCTTTCACAGTGGAGAATCTGTTCCGAGTATTTGCGCGGCAACAAGAACGCCCCCCCCCCCTTCCCACGTGCATAAACATTGATAAGTGCATAAGCGTCAAGTTCTGATTATCCCGACTTGACACATGGAGCCGGGAACAGCCACTGGTGGCGCTGTATACAATAGAAACCTATTCGGGCTTGCCAACGCTCAGGCTGGCATCAATGTAAAACGCAAAAACATTTGTTAGATTTGGTGATCAGTTTAGTATGATAGAAAGCGTCTTCAAATAACCAAAATAGACAAACGGGGTCAAGAGCGAATATACGTAATTCCGGCGTTTAATAATAAGTGCTTTCTATTAATACTTGCACTTTAAAATAATATTCATGAGATATGTCTACGTCATAATCTCGTTAACGTTATTAGCATAATGTGTATTAGCGTATTCCACAATCATCACAGTGAGGCCAATTGAAATTTACGTTTTATGCGAGGTAGCGTTCAGCACCGTCAACGAGGTTTGTCAATCAAACCTCATTAAAAATGCTGAACTTCGTTGTGTTTGTATTCGAAGTCAACACATAAACGAAGATACCAGATATATACACAAGTTAACAAGCCACACCAACGCAACGATTGCATTTGTACACACTCCCACCATGTCATACCTGCAACATGCAATTACAATTCTCAGTGGTTTCCCCCACTGAACTCTGGGTTAGACACTATCAAATGAATATGTAATAAACACACATTGGTTGTGTATGTGTTTGTTTTATAAATTATCAAAAAAAGTGAATGGGGTTGTAAACTATTTACGTATCTTACCTGCTCTTCCATAAAGTAGATGAAAACACCAGCACCGATTTCTGCCATAAACAACGATGATATTATTCCATTGTACTGAAAGATAAAATACGAATTGATTTAAATAAATATTTCCCATACGACATTCAAATCGTCGATGTCAATCAAGATTGCTTTTTAGATATTTACTGTAAGTTCTCTATGTCAAACGAGTACACAATCAAACGAAGTTGTCGATTTGAATGGCATTGCTTTCACGTATATACGTCATTGTGACGTCACAAGAAGTTTGCCACTAGATGGCGCGACTTGTAGGAAAGGTACAAGATTATGTTAATTATTACCGACTACGCGATATAGCATGGTTATGCTGGATAAAAACGAAATATGTAGATGACGTAATGTATTCGTGTTTAAAGTTCAAAAGAAGTTAATTAGAAATGAATTATTTATAGTTTACCGTTTTCAAGATGCCCGGGCTCTCCTTGAGGGCCCCACAACATCCAAGGAAACCTGTGTAACATAAACATTTCAAAATCATTATTTAAAAACGCTAAATCGGCAACGGTGGCCATTATGCACAATAAACTGCACGATCTACACATAATGGCGACGTTAAAGCATAGTCTACGTCAACGTACGTACAATGTACAATGTAATACAGCAAGTCAGTGCCGACTCGTCCCATGGGTCAGGGCCGACGTGTTCCGTGGGTCAGTGCCGACTCGTCCCGTGGGTCAGTGCCGACTCGTTCCATAGGTTAGTCCCGACTCGTTCCGTGGGTCAGTGCCGACTCGTCCCATGGGTCAGTGCCGACTCGTTCCGTGGAAAATATGATAAAACTATACTAAGTTTTGAAATTATGTCAAAAGTTCAAATGGTTCATGTGACTTACCAAGAAGGAAAAGAAATGCCCCGAGTGCAATACATATGTAGCATACGACCTGTAACAACAAATAAATAAATAATGTCACTGTCCGTTCAAACAATGTGTTCTACATCTAATCTACTGTCGAAAGAAATCATGTGTAATCTGTCAAGTCCGAATTTGATCAAAGTGTTTTTGGAATAGAAGACATGCTCGGTCACGTGTTATGCAAATTAGATTGTTGTAATGAATTTACTGACATATTGACATCATACAATTCATTTCACTTAGGAAGGAACGTAGTTTATAAATCTTGACCGTTGAAAACAACTTGTCCAATCACAAACGGCTAGCGCTTTAATGGCACTATTAATTACGTGATCATTTTCTTGCTATATGTTTATTATTAGTATTAGTAAATTCATACATTAATGTCTTTATGTAAATCGTAAACCGCTATAGTTGTATTCATACACAATTATAAACTGCTAGTGCTACTGTAATAACACCTTGCACATTTCGATGTGAGTTTTCGAAAAATACACGCATTTAGAATTCAAGGCTTTCAATGACATGGGGTACCTTGAATTATTAATGAGCAAACGACAGATCGTACACTAGACATTTTGTATTCATGTAAATCAGTCTTAGTTACTGATTGTGTGTAGCTTAATCGTTTTATTTTATCGTTTTCGTCGAAGTACAAATCAGAAATTCAAACTCGTTTTTGTTGGTTTAAAAGATAAACATTGTTTGGGTTAGAATCTTGTGAATGTCTATTCGGTGTGTTTACTGTCAGTGTGAAATCTCAATACTAATACCTAAAAATGATTGCGTTATAACTTATATCAGTTATATGATTGCCACCAAACTATAGTGACAACGACACTTGTAATATCTCAAATATACAAACGATTCGTTTTTAGCGTTTTTAAATATATTTTAAATTGATGGCATCTACGATTCAAATATTCCGGCATCTGAAAGTAGCTCGGGGTATTCCGGCATCTGAAAGTAGCTCGGGGTATTCCGGCATCTGAAAGTAGCTCGGGGTATTCCGGCATCTGAAAGTAGCTCTGGGTATTCCGGCATCTGAAAGTAGCTCGGGGTATTCCGGCATCTGAAAGTAGCTCGGGGTATTCCGGCATCTGAAAGTAGCTCGGGGTATTCCGGCATCTGAAAGTAGCTCGGGGTATTCCGGCATCTGAAAGTAGCTCGGGGTATTCCGGCATCTGAAAGTAGCTCGGGGGTATTCCGGCATCTGAAAGTAGCTCGGGGGTATTCCGGCATCTGAAAGTAGCTCGGGGGTATTCCGGTAAAAATGTTTTAGAAATTTCCATGTAGTAAAATACTTTATTTTAGCTGGAACTAATTTCGCTGAAAAGTTTTTTTGGGTGTATTGTTTGGGATTTATTTTCACTGAGTTGAATGTAAAATACAGGAAAAAGGTATATTCGCTGAATTTTATTTTCACTGAATCATTCCTTCAGCGAAAATAGCAAAAATTAAATCCAACCGAAATTCAAGTTTTTTACAGTATTATTTCCATATAGTAAACGTAGAATCGCGTGAATTCGCACCCAAATTTCACAACCAAACCTGGTGACCGTATTCGTGTAACGCAGAATAATATTAGTCTGGGTCTCGTACAAACGTTTATATTGTGGCTAGTTATAAACTCATGCCATGGATTCATACTGTAATGTTAAGAAACATGTGGCACTGGACATTTCTAAAGCTGCAACCCCCGTAACAAATGAAACGTATCTTTGCTAATCTTATACTGATGTGTAGATTGTTTGATAATGAACTGAGCCACATTTAACCAAGAGTTAAAACTTTGTTTATAGTGTGGAGTGTAACAATAGTAAAGATGACAACTCCCGTTGTTTCATCCGAAATAAGAGAATGAAGATTTTATCTGAGAGATATTTTGTTTTTCGCTTTTCTGATCTATGTTTTAGAGTGACATTCCTATAGTGTCAGACTCAGACAATGGTTTAGCGTGAACAAGTTTACAACATCGTTGTGAAAACAGCAGTTCCTACCAAAATCGTTTTTCGAAAAAATATACACGCGACTGATGTAGCGGGAATATAACCAAGAAAATAGAATCTGAGTGGCATATCAACACTCTTTTTTACTTTGTGGCTCCATGCTGTAGACACTTTGGGAAAATCAACTCTAAAACTGATACGTTAAATAATTTGTCAATATTATGCACATGTTGTTTGACGCCACTAAGACGCTATGACATTTGTCCTGTTTTTACGTTCGATTTCACGCATAACGCGGGATCTCGCAGTGAACGGAAAATGATCTATTCTAAAAGAATATATCTTGTGTATCTTTCATACGCAGTTCGGCTCCGTCTCATCGAATCCAATGGATATATACATGAATACTCAACTACAAATTGCACGGATTACGTCACTTGTGTTAATTATAAAAATTTGGGATTGAATACTCACATTAGCACCAGCTACGAGCTCGAGTTCTGCATAAGGTAGTGTTCCGGGTTCAGCGGTCAGCAAGTAAACAGCGCCCCCTATAATCGCACATCCGATCAGCTAGAATAAGAAATACGTAACACTATATCACTAATATATGTATGTGTGTCAAATTTAATTTTAATGAAAACTTGGAATACAGTAAGTTCTGACATCAAACCTGGAAAATTCAGCATTTAATTGTTCTGTTGTTCGCAACATTTGTGGCATTTAGCTTGGTAATAAAACGTTAAAGTGGGAGGGTTGTCATCTGTGCACGCGAGTCCCAAGCGACGATAACAACAAACGCTAAAAACGCAAAGCCTCATGGGTAGACACTTGTGTGTAGACAATGACACCATTAACACTGCAGGTCGGCGTCCTTTCTACACCAATCTGACGCATATCGCGCAAGGTGTGCCGGGAGTTTGTTCGAAATTTCGAATGTTTAGAAGTGAATCGTCGGTCGGCACGTATTTTACGGATATATCAAAATCGTTTCAGGGGCATGTTTACTAAATAACGATAAATAAAACTTAGAAATATTGTAAGGACAAACTGGCCCCAAAATTGGGCAAATTTCCACTGCTAGTGTCGGAAGGCGTTCTACGTGTGATTTTATTGCGCTCAAGGACGTTCTATTTTCGAACTAGTTGAAACCGGAAATAACGCAACTACTTTCGAACTTCAAACACAAATTTGATTATCGTTATTATGTGTTAGTTTCTGTTGTTTCAAAGATTGAATTATGTATGACAATAATATTTCACTCTATAAACATTATTTCACTAAAATATGTGATTCAAAGGCAACCCAAATTGTAAAAAGCAATATCAAGTTCCGCGTATAAACACTGTTGTAAAGAGGCGGCGGAGCGGAATTTTAGCCAAAATCGGCTAGTAAGGCGTCATATGACACAGGTTTCTTGAGTTGTGCTGGGACAGCGCTTCCGGTGACGACACAACGCAATGACACCATTGACGCTGAAGTTCGGCGTTTTCTACATCGATCTGACGCATATCGCGCAAGGTGTGCCGGGAGTTTGTTCGAAATTTCGAACGTTTTGAAGTCAATCGTCGATTGGCACGTATTTTACGGATATATTTAATCGTTCCAGAGACCTGTTTACTAAATAATGATAAATGAAACTTAGAAAACTTGTAAGAACAAACTGGGCCCAAATTGCGCAAATTGCAATAAGTTTACGCTGCTAGAGTCTGGTTTGGACGGAGTTCTACGCGTGATTTTATTGCGCTCAAGGACGTTCTATTTTCGAACTAGTTGA